GTTTTTTTTTTTGGTACTGGGGATCAAACTCAGGTACTTATGCTTGTGAGGCGGGCGGCAGAACCACTGAGCTAAATCCCCGGCCCACCAGCTATTTTTATAAAGCTTAGTAAGGATAGATAACTTTCTTTCAGACATGTTTCTTTGTAAGGTGAGGATTTAAAACATGTCAGTTGAAATTATTTACATAAATATAATAAAGTATTTCTAAGTGAGTTTTTTAGTAGTAACTTGAATTTACCAAATTTAATAGGTAAATTATCTTATTTTTACAAATAAAGAATTCATTGGTATCCAGAAGTTAAATTATTTGCCTTCATTTATACAGTACCTTCATTTGCAAGAAAGACCAGCTCATGAGCATCAATAAATACTACTCAATAGAATAGAAATCTGTGTCAACTCTTATTGTGAAGCATTTTATTAAACTGAACCAGATTATACCGTTAGGCTTATCTGTCTGCACACATCCATATACATACCCTAGGTTCTGTAACAGTGGGCATAGATGATATTGTTATCTTGAGATTGTAGCTCATATGAGTAACTCAGTACAGATTCATGCATGTTATTGCAAAACCATTTGCAAACATGGCCAACTTGGACAAGAAGAAAGCAGCTTTCTCAATAGAGTTTCCTGGATAGTTTGGGATTTGCCATCCCTTCAAGATATTGAGATAACTTGGGATAGGAAATTTTCTAAAAGTACATTGTTTCTCTGAGATACAATGTGCTGAATGTGACCTAAATATTTATTAATGATTTTAAGCATTTCAGTCATAATTTTTAAAGATGTAAATAGTGATGTTAGGCTTGTGAGGCATATGTTGTGGCTTCCCTCGTTCCTTTGGAGTTCTGTTTTCCCCATGTCAGAGCTTCTTAGTGTTGTCAGTATACCTGCCTAAAGCTGCCCTTTCCATTGACTTTTTTTTACCCTTGGGTTCATGAGTTGTGAGAACTGAGTAGAAAATAGTCCATAGATGACAAGGAGCTAGAGAGTTTCTTGTAAAGAAGTTGTTTTAGCTTTAATTTGTGAACTCTTTGATTTATATCAGATCATAAATTCTGGATAAGTGAGACATTATAAATGTGTAGGCATAAACTTTCTGTGTTCAGAAAATGTGACAGCAGTTTTTATAGTGTGTTTCCACAGCCTCTGAGAGATTCCGCAGTGCTGTAGTAGTAGTGTTTTCTCTATAGTGGTAGGGGAAAACCAAGAGCACAGAATTCTGGATTGCTGGGCAAAACCAGAGACCCTCCTGTCCCAATCGTCCTGTTAGGTTCCCATGAATGAGTAGGAATAACCCATGGGAAAGAGGCTGTGGCACTCCTGGTATACAGGGAGTAAGTTATCCTCAAGTACAGCAGTGTCTGATGATGGGTAAGGCTTACTAGAAGGAAAGCAGGCTCAAACCCCATCAGTCCTGTGATTGTCTATGATTTTGGGCAGGTGACTTCAGCTAGCACACATTCTTGGTTGCCTCCACAACAGCTGCATCTGCCACATTCTTTTTGGAGTATGCCTTTGATAAAGAAATACCAATAGTATTTCTCATCTGGGCCAGTAGGACTATAGGGTGCATTTGCCAGTAAACTTCACATAATTAAGGTATCCACTTGATTACATTTTGATAGATGTGTACACTCTGGGCTTGTTTCTGTGTAGTACTCTGAGCCTTTACCATCTCCTTTTAAGACTCATCATGTGGTTAAATTTTTGGTCTTGTTTGCTGCTTTATCTATGGTCCTAGCAGGAATGTGGAACATGGTAAGTACTCTATGGACATTTACCTTAAATGTAGGAATTTGATTGAGCCACCAACTATTGTTATCCTTGTACAGAGATGGCACACGTGTGGATTGTCCGTTGTGCCTGGGCCTTGACGTGAGTTAGCATTGGGTGTGGTTTTGATGAGGATTACTGCTTTGTTACTCTCTACAACTGTTCACAAATTGAAAGACTGAAAGAAAGGATCTCCTGGATTTTTTTCTTTCCCTTTCCCAGGAGAGTAGAGCCATGCTTAGGATTGAAGTAGCCTCCTGCTGTGTTGGGTGTCTTCAGCTCCTTCCTGGAATTTACTTCATTGGTACCTGTTTCCCAAGCCTTATTGTAAGCAGCCATGGACTGTGATTCAGTTTTGCCCTTTATCTTTTGTTACACTCTTGAGTCCATGAGCTTATGGTTTCCTCATTTTCTTCATATACCTGGCCTTGGATTTATTTATTTATATGTTTATTACTTAGCTGTACTGGAGATTGAACTTGTGTATGCTTGACAAGTGCTTTACCACTGAGCTACATCTCCAGCCCTTTTTGTTTATTTTGACTCAGTCTTACTAAGTTGCCTAAGGTGGCCTCAAATCATTCATTTTTTCTTACGGAACCCTTCAATAACGAAATGCTGAAAGGCATCCTGTACTGTGATAGTCATGTCCTGCTCAGATTCTTCTTTGGAAATGCCACAGAAGAGCACAGTGTCATCCCATGCTCCTGAAACAATTTGTGATTCAAAATCTGAGGAATTGGCAGGAAAGACAGGAAGTCAGTCTCCTTAGTTAAAAGATTTTCACCACTGAGATGAGAAAGGAACAAAAATATCAGTAAAATCAAAGCAGAGGGCTGAACCTGACTTCTTGTGAAAAACAGAATATTTTGAGTTTATTGTTGTTGCTAGAATTTTTAGTAGGAAGTGCCTGAGAAAACCCTGAAAGAAGTCTCTTTTTATTGGCAAGGACAGGCACCAGCTCAAATGTGGCAGAAGCTGCTGTTCATGGGGGCATGTCCATCTAGCAGGGGAATGGCTGGGGTTTGCTTTGACTCCTAGCTCTCTTTCCCTATGTGTGTATTGACTTCTGTGATGAGCATTTCAGCCAGTCCCTCTGGGAGTTGCTTGAGCCTAGGAACTCCTGGAGAAGGAATCCACAGGGGCTGGCTGTGAGCTCTTTTGGAGGCCAGCACCCAGCAAGGAACAGTGAGAGAACATAGAACGTGAATCAGACTCCAGATTTGGAAGGTTGACCTTTGGCCTGCTTAATTCAAAGCTAAGCATAGAATAATAGTCCAGTGTTTCCAAGTGTTGTTTCTTATATTCCCTTTCCAAAGCTTATCACCTTCCATTTGTGATAAAATTAAGGGACAAAACCCACCATTTTTCACAAATAAGAGGCTACCATCACTGGGCCTGGGAGTAGCTCAGTGCTTGGCCTATATGAGGTCCTGGGTTAGCTCCTCAGCTCTGAAAAGAAAAAGTATAATCTTCCTAAACATAGGCTCCATTCCTGGGGATTCAGCAGATATCCTGGTAGTTGAAATGATCATGTTAATTGGCCTAGTAATGGGAACTTTGGCAGTGCTTCCATAATAAACTCTATACCAATAATAACAGTGATTTAGGTTTGTGTGTCCATAGTCCATTTAATAAAAAGGGGACCTGCTCTAACTTTCAACATAAAATGTAATGCATTTACCTGACTTTTATATATTTTCATTAATAATGGCTACTCCAGCTAGTTTCATAGTGTATCGTAAGGAGTCGGGGTCTACTATAAGTTTCTTCATTTGTAAAGTGGAACTTTTGATTTTTTTTTTAAATAGAGTCCCATCAGAGTTTTACAGATTAAAGATTGTTTGTGTATGTGTGTATGCGCATGGTCCCTCATCTCAGTATCTTAGGCATAATTCATTTTGTGCTGCTGTTTCCATATTAAGGGTTTCTTTTTTGTGGTGTGTGTGTGTGTGTGTGTGTGTGTGTGTGTGTGTGTGTTGGTACTGGGGCTAGAACTCGGGACTTCATTGTGCTTGCAAGGCAGGTGATAGAACCACTGAGACCTTTTTTGTTGTGTTTTATCAAAGGACACAACACCTTGATAACGTAGAGAAAACCATAGTGAAAAAATGTACAAGATAAGTATAAGATACCGTCATAAAATTTTTTCTGTTCATTGATGGACCTTGTAGCCTGTCTGAAGAGCACCTTATGTATAAGGACACCTTATACATAAAACCTGTAAGGTTTTCTGGTTATGGTTTTTTGTTTGTTTAATCTTTTGAGACTGGGTCTCACTTTGTACGTAAGGCTGGCCTTGAACTCATTATGTAGCCCAGGTAGGCCTCAGATTCACAGCAATCTTCCTGCTTTACCCTCCCAGGTACTGGGATTACAAGTGTGAACCACTGCTCCCAGCTTGGCTATATTGTTGTTGTTGTTGTTGTTTTCCCCCAAATTTTGAATTCTAACTCTTGGACTATTTTGTATCTTTTAAAATTTTAGAGTAAGTAGTCTTCTAATTCAGTCACTATCTCAGACGTTACGTTTAGCACAGTGAATTTTTGTGTAGTTTTTTTCAGGGCTTTTACTGAAGAATACTTGACATATGTGTACATGTACAGTGTAGTAAGTGTTCCACACCCATGAAACTATCAACATAATCCAAGTAATACACATCTTTTACCCCTAAAGTGTCCCTCAGAATCCATTCTTCCTGTGTTTTCTCATTGCAGACGCAACTTAACTGCTTTCTGTCACTACAGACTAGCTTAGCTTTTAGTGAGCTAGAATTTTTCCAAGGAAGTCTTTTTTTTTTTTTTTGGTAGTGGGGATTGAACTCAGGTCTTTGCGCTTGCAAGGCAGGGCACCAAACCGCTGAGCTAAATCCCCGGCCCTGTGTGCTCTTTTTTTCGGTCTGGCTTCTTTCTCAATCAGCAAAAGTATTTGGAATTTTATCCATCTTGCTTATTTCAGTGTATGTTATAACTCTAATTTAAGTGCCTAGGTGGGAAATAAGTCTTTTTGAAAACTCTTAACCTCTTATTGATGTATCTTATTGAAATATTTTCGATAATAGTCTTAGTGAAAAGCTTAAAAGATTGCTATATTCTATTGTCTTTGAAGTCCAGCTCCAGTAATTCATGTATACTTAAGTAAAGTGCCTCATGAGTTTTAAATGGAAACTCTTAGGCTCCTAGTCAGTTTGTTGTGTTAGCTTGATGACAGTTTTTTGGGATATTACCTATTGCCTTGTGTTCGCTTTGAAAAGTTCTGTATGTCTAGTGATTCGCTCATAGTTACTAATTATGGATTTATTTTTCTTTGCAGATCTTTTCCAGAATCCAGATATGGGTGTGAGAGGGTTACAGGGGTTTGTGAAAAGTACCTGCCCACATGTATGTACAGTAATCAACCTCAGAGAGATGGCGGAGCACCACCTCAGCAGGCACCCGAACTGTACTCCGACCATTGTTGTGGATGCCATGTGCTGTCTCCGATACTGGTACACTCCAGAATCTTGGATCTGTGGTGGCCAGTGGCGAGAATACTATGCTGCTTTGCGAGATTTTATTAAAACCTTTGCATCTGTTGGCATTAAGTTGATATTCTTCTTTGATGGCATGGTGGAGCAGAATAAAAGAGATGAGTGGGTCAAACGAAGGCTTAAGAACAACAGGGAGATATCGAAGATTTTCCATTACATAAAGTCACACAGGGAGCAGCCAGGCCGAAATATGTTCTTTATCCCCTCTGGGTTGGCCATATTTACACGGTTTGCTCTGAAGGCACTGGGTCAGGAAACCTTGTGTTCATTACAGGAGGCAGACTATGAGGTGGCTTCCTATGGTCTCCAGCATAACTGTCTTGGAATTCTTGGGGAAGACACCGATTACTTAATTTATGATACTTGTCCATATTTTTCGATTAGTGATCTCTGTCTAGATAGTCTCGACACAGTCATGCTATGTCGAGAGAAGCTTTGTGAGAGTCTGAGCCTCCATGTGGCTGACCTGCCTCTGCTGGCCTGTCTGCTTGGCAATGATATCATACCAGAGGGCATGTTCGAGAGCTTTCGGTACAAATGCTTGTCTTCCTATACATCTTCAAAAGAGAACTTTGACAAAAAAGGTAATGTTATCTTAGCTGTATCAGACTATATATCCAAAGTTCTTCACTTGCATCAAGGTGAGAAAAAATTAGAAGAGATGTTACCTTTGGGACCAAACAAAGCTCTTTTTTATAAAGGAGTGGCATCGTATCTCTTGCCAGGACAGAAATCTCCATGGTTCTTCCAAAAACCCAAAGGTGTAACAATGTTGGACAAGCAAGTAATATCCATAAATTCAGACCCTGAATCCAAGCAAGAGGTTCCCATTTGTACAGAGCCTGAACCCAAACAAGAAGTTCTCGTGTGTGCAGCTCCTGATTCCAAGGAGGAAGTTCCCATATGTGCACATCCTGTATTGAAGGAGGAAGTTCCCATATGTGCACATCCTGAACTTAAGCAAGAAGTTCCTGTGTGTGCAGATTCTGAATCCAAGGAAGACGCTCCTATGTGCATAGATCCTGAATCAAAGAAAGAAGTTCCCATGTACGTAGATGCTGAATCTAAGCAAGAAATTCTCATGTATATAGATCCTGAACCCAAGCAAGGAGTTCCCATATGTACAAACCCTGAAATAAATCAGAAATTATCTATAGGAACAGACCCTGTATTTAATCTAGAAGCTTCCATGTGTATATACCCTGAAGTTAAACGAGAAGATCCCATGGATATGGGTCCTGAAATAAAAGAACAAGTAACCATGGTTTCAGATCCTGAAATCTTAAAGGTAGGTGGATGTGCTCACCCCCATCCAAGATGTCATAAGTGAAAATATATCCATTAAAAGATTTGTTAGTGAAGATTTACTACCTGTAATAGTTAAGGGACTGCAGAGGCTGCACAGTACGAATCTGAGTCCAAGATGGAGGTGTGCCTGTGAAAACACATTACATTCTAACTCACATTTACATGAGTAAAATAAGCAGAGCTATAGGAATTCCAAGGAAACAGTTATGGGTTAAGGTACAGGGGGAGGTTCCTCAGAAAAGTGAATTCAAAGCCAGATCTTTATGTTCCCATCTGCTTTGCACTTATGCGAAGACTTGGGTTGTGGGAACCCTAAGCACATAGCAGTTGGAATCTGTCACTGTGGAGGTGTGGGATTTGAAGGGCGAAAAAAAATTGGAAGCAGTAGTATGTTGCCAGATTGTTAAGGTTATTATGGGAATAATTCTGAGAAGGGCTGGGGTTATAGCTCAGTGGCACTGCACCTGGCTTGCAAGCACAAGATCCTGAGTTCGATCCCTGGTACAAAAAAAAGAGAAAATATTGGAAATAATTCTGAGAATGTTACAGAACCTTTGAAGAGTTTTGATGGAGGGTCACTATTAGGCAACTGTTTGTATGAGGTTCTACATTAGGCACAGTGCTTATCTTTTCTCCTTTGATCCTCAGTAGCTCTGTGAGATAGGTACTATCTTGGTTTTCCCCTTGTTCCATTACTGGATACACTGCTATGATCTCATACATGGTACGCTTCCTGAGTCACACTCCTATCCCTGTTACCCTGGAATATTTACAGACATACGTCTGTATGACTGCTCAGTGGCTTCTCAACATATTCAAAATCACATATGGTCTTACCAACAAGCTTTTTATTCACAGCATTGTGTCGGCTTGTTTCATCTAGTTACACAAGCAGCACACCTAGGAATTTCTTTCCCATTTTTTAAACATCTTCATGAGTCTTATTGCTTTTATTTATTAAATGAGTTATGAATTTGTACAATGTTCTTTTCTACCATCTTAGTCCAGCTATCTTGTCTGAATGATGATCGCAATCCCTAAGAACACTTCCTGTGCCAGTGTCTCTAGAGCTTTGTGTCTCTTGGTTTTTTGTTTGTTTATTTTTTTCAGTTTTATAGCCTTGTGCATGCTCTTCATCCCAAAAAGCTCCTGCTACCTTGTAGTTAATACTTTTTAGTGTTTTCTGTTACAGCTTGTGAGTCACTAAAGAAGTATTGGGAAGTAGTGTCAGCTTTTCATTTTTGTGACCTAATAACTTGGCATACAGGATCTAAGGGAGGAAAGGTTTATTTTTACTCACTTTTCAGAGGATTTAGTTCATTTAGCTGGCTCCAAAACAAATTAAATGGTAGAAGGGCTTGGCAGAGCAAAACTGCTGAGTTCATGGAAGCTTAGAAAAGCTGCGCAAAGGAACAGTGCCAGAAATGAAGGGGCTAAGGACAAGGTTGTGCTTTTGTGACCCACCTAGACAAACAGAAGTGTGTTTCACTAAACCTCTAGGCAGTTTCTAGTCAATCAAGTGACAATTAAGCTTAACTACCACACATGGTTTGTATGCCTCATGTTCATAGCACACTTACGTGTGTGATAAATGCCTTCTTGTAAGACTCAATGCTGAGGGCAGGGTCTCATCTTGTTTTCTCAATGTTGTGCTTCCCGTAGTATCTATCTCACCGTGGCTCATTATGTATTTGTTAAATTAATTACTTGTTTTTTTCTCATACCTTTAACTTCTCTTCTTAGTGACTTCTTCCTTTCCTGCTGTATATTGATCTTGTTAACCTAGCTGTGTTGCTTAATAGCAGATAAACTAGTTTACTAATATGCACAAATATTTGCAGTAAGATCTAGAATATAAAGCCCCTTTTAGTACAGTTGCAGGTGAAAATGTCATTGAAGTATTTGTATAAGTACATGGAAAAAAGAATTGGGCTGGAAATTCGAGGAAGGGTGAGTTGGACCTTCAAGCAAAATTGTTGGCAGGCAGGAGCATTGTGAGTCACAGCATAGGAACAGAGCTGGTGCTGACAGGAATAAGAGATGTTTAAGGAGTGAATGATGTCATAACAAGAAGTGTGGAGAGTGGGCAGAGAGTCGAATCTGACTGTTTTAGTTTATTCAGCTTTTTTCTGCGGTCAGGATATAGAAATACTAGGTCAATATAGATCATACAGAGATGATTCTCCTTAGATATATGTGTATGTATGTAGTGGTTTGTAATTATCAGAGGCATCCTTCCCATCTTCTCACTCCGTCATCACACAGCTCTGATGAGAGGAGGTTGATACTTGCCTTCTCACTTGACAGCAAAGGTGTGCCAAGGCCAGTGATGACCTATAGTCATGGACCTCACACTCAGCAGAGCCAGGGTTTGAACCTGAGCCTTTGGCACCACGCTCTTGACAAGGTCATGTTTACCTTTGCTTATAGTGTGGAAGTTCATTGGCACCTGGGAAGGTAAGATGGTATGGTCTATAGTCTAGAAGCATGAATGTGTACAGATTCCTATAGAAGCCGTGTGTTCTAGTCTCATACATAGCTATACAAGTAACATCTGACATGGAGCTCAGGGCTGCACAGGCACCTGGGGGAGATAGTGATGGCTTGTCTTCCTGAACACTCTGCTTTCTCTTGTCCCCACTTCACTCAGTCTTCCCTTCATTATGTAGTCCGGACTGGTTTTAAACTCACTGTATAGCCCATGCTTACCTTGAGCTATGGTGATCCTTCTGCCTCATTCTCTTGAGTGCTGGGATTACAGGCATGTACTGCCATTCCAGGCCTCTCTTTCTGTTTCTTGACTTTCTTTCCTATCTCATTTGTGTATGCTTTTGTACACATTCTTTTTGGGCTGGAGGTCTGTCCTAAGGCTCTTCTACATGATACATGGAACCCATTCCTGTTCACCTCACCCATTTCCTCCAAAGGAGTTGGGACCTGACAGATTGAGTCAGACCAGAGAGGGCATGATGTGATTTACAAAAATTTTGCCTTCAGTTTTTATTTCTATGAAGAAAGCATTAGCTATTTTTCAGCAGGGTGATGTGATCAGAATGATAAACTTTATGAAACATTGGTTGGCTATACTGCAGAGGAAAAGTTTCAAGTGACTGTTGAAAAAGTTCAGGTGAAAGAGGAAAGATGTACAATTAGGAAAATGGTAACGAAAATTGGAGAAACAGACCCACAGAGTTTCAGAAGTAAAACTACCAGTAAGGTGGTCATGCTATGAATGGAGTTCCATCCTGGGTACCAGGGATGGTAGTTGCATTAGCTGAGGGAGGAGGTGGGCGGTTTGCTGAACCCTGGTGCAAGGAAGTGGGATATATGGCACTCTGACATGTCCATGCAGTGAGGTACAGGCCTCAAGCTATTTGCTAGCAGGAGGCAGGCATTTGGGAATTGTTCTTTGGCAGAAACTTCAGTAGAGGAGCATATGGGATGGAGACTTAAACCACAAAGAGAGAAGGAATGTGAGGAAAGATAGAGCAGCAAGAGTCCAAGAAGGCAGCTTTCAAGAATAGAAGAGTGATCTTGGAGAACGAATGAGTGCTGTAGAGGCAGAGGCAAGGAAGCTGGGCTTGGGCTAGACAAGAAGCAGTTGGGTTGGCAGCAGCTTTGCTGACTGTAGACAGATGCTATAGTCAGGTAGAGATTAGAAGCCACTTACAAGGGTTTGAGGAGTTGGCAGTAGGAATGAATCTCGGAAGGTCCTTTGAGGCCTGTCTGTGGGCAGATAGGCAGGTGCTGTAAATCGAATTTTGCAAGTACAACATGCTTGTATATGTAACATTGAAGGGTAGAAACAAAAGCACTTAGGGCATACTGACGTAATTGAATTAAAAATGATTGTAGAGAACTGAACACTTTGTGTCCCCAGGAGTGAATGTTAACATCCCAAATTCTATATGGTTGTCAAATGCAAAGATTTCTGCATCTGCAAAATGTCAACTTCTTTGAAGTAAAAGGAATCAGAAGTGGGAAGGGGAATAGAAACAACTTGGAAGCATTTTTGCCCTAAAAGGATTATGAAATACATAGTTTGAGCATCTCTAGTAGTCTGTATGGAAAGGGCCAGAGGCACTGGTCACTTATGATCATCGTCACCTGGTCATAGCATCAAGCAAGGGCTCTTTGGTTCTTCAGTACAACCTAACTCTTAATCCATCCCTCCATTTCTCCCTTTCTTACTTAAAACTGTTTACTGATCATGAAGCCATTCACAGATCTGCCTTGATGTGAAGACCCTCTAGCAGTGCAGTGGTCTGGGTCTGAAGAGAGCTAGGCATTTGGGCTGTCTTGGATAATGGTTTGGCACTGACCAACTGAGCAGCACTCCTTATCCTCAGCAGCCCTCAAGTGAGTTGGCATTTTTTATTTAACCCATGGTTTACGTGATGAAAGTGTGGGACAGCAAGATTGGCTCAGGTGTACAATAATGGGTCCACCTAACAAGAACTCCCTAAGTATACATAAATGAAACTCTGATTCACAATTTTTCTTTTTTTGGTAACTGGGATCGAACTCACAACCTTGTACTTTTGAGGCAGGTGTGGTGCCACTGAGCTATATCCCAGACCCTGATTCCTAGTTTTGTTTTGTTTTGTTTTTTAACCTGGATGTTTTATGTATTTATTTTTTTATTGAATTTATTGGTACATTCTAGGTAGACAGTACAGTTACATTCATTACTGGGATCTTGTTCCTTTACATGACAGGTCTTGGCTTTTCCCCTTGTCCCCACCCTCCCTTCACCCCCTCTTCCCCTCCCCACCTACAAAGACTTTAATTCCATTTTTACATTTTCTCATATTTTTTCCCCTTTCCCTTATTCCCCTTTCCCTACCCCGCTTAATTCACCCTAACATCACATTTTAAATGCTTCTGGAAGATTGGATTTGAATTCTGAATGGTAGCTAATTTATTAATGATAATGTATTCCCAAGTAATAAGAATGTTCTCCACAGGAAAATAAAACCTATGGGTTATTGTAGATCCTGTGATCATAAATCACATATCTTATTAGTTTGATAGGAGAGGTTAAACAAGATAGCAGTTGAGCCCCTGGAGCAGGAATTGGGTAGTTGCGGGAGGAGTAGAAAATTCATGGAGCAAGTGTTGCTTTTGGTTTTGGAGTAGGAGGTTGGGATCTGTGGTAGGGTTAGGGTTAGGGTAGGGAAAGATGTTCTGGTTGGGGATTTTTTTCCTGGAGTGCAAGGGGAGGTGGGAGAGGGTTTTTCTTGTGGAGCCATGAAAATGCCCCACTGAGACTGCAGGGTAGCATTTTCTATGGGGATGAAATGGTTTTTACAGTATAAGGAGACAGGAGATGGAGGGGCCTGGAATGTCACAGTGAAGAATTTGTGGTAGCCATTCAAATGTCTCAAGGAGGGAATCAATGGACCTGTTTCCAAAAAGACAGCATGGTGGTGGTAAAAGATAGGTTGGAACAGGGAGAAACGATCCGTGATCAGTTGGGAGCCTTTTGTGGCAGCCCTGCTGGACATTAGCTAGCAAGCACATGGTTACTGAGAGGTCTCATATAGACAAAATGATAAGGTACTATAGAGCTAAATATGGCAAGACTGGCAAACTGGAGGTAGACAGTGGAGAAAAAGCAATACAAACAAGGATAGAACATGGTAGTCCAAAAGAAAGAAAACATAAATGCTACTAATGTCCTGAATTTGAATGCAGTTACTCAAGTGCTATAATAACTGGCATGTGATGAGATTGTTGACCATTTCTGTTTGAAGATCACTGTTTTTGTGGAGAAACCCACTGCCTTTTCATTTTGAACAGATTGCTAGGACGCATCATGTCCAGGCAGAAAGCTACCTGGTGTACAACATCATGAACAATGGAGAGATTGAGTGCAGCAACACCTTAGAAGATGAGCTGGACCAAGCCCTGCCCAGCCAGGCTTTCATCTACCGCCCTGTCCGCCAGCGTGTCTACTCAATTTTACTGGGAGACTGCCAAGGTGAGAGCTCTTGGTCTGTCTTTGTAACAGTTCTGTTGGAGTTAAATTTTGGGAAGCTGACTGATGAAGTTGAGTGCATTCTCTCAGGACAAGGACAAATAGGTTTTGCTTCTCTGTAAGATCTGTAATTGCGAATACTACTCACATCTGTGAAAATTTAAGGATTAGTGCTAGGGGTCTCCATGTCTAATTGACGAGCAGTTGATCAGAGTTCATTAATGAGGAATGTATTGTTTCTATTAAATGTTATATTTTTGTGCCTTAGGATTTGTGCCTTTTTTAAAAAAATTCCCTTTTGTAGGAATATAGGGTGTGTTTATTACTAGATGAAAACAATGCCTCTTTAGACACCCTTCAAAATGTGATTTTCATAAAATAATTTTACAAAATCTAGTGTATCATATATTAAAATATAAACAAAATTTTCCTTTAGAGTTTTCGTAATTAAGTTTATTTTCTTCCCATTGTGCACTTAACAGAAAGAATAGAGGAAGGAACCACAATGTGCAGAACAATAACAGGAGAGCCCCACATGTGAATTTACCCAGGGCCTCAAAACTCGCTGCTAGGAATAGTGTATAAGAGACTGTGCTTCATATTAGAGCTTAGTGGTGTGTAATGCACCTGGTTACTTTTTATTTGAGGCCTTGTTCACACTAGACAGAGACCTTAGAGGTACTTTCTCCTCTGATTGGAGACTGCTTTGATAAGAATGTAGTCTAGCAAGGTGATCCAGGCAAGAGATAGAAGCCAGAGTGCCAGTGAAAGGTGTTTGGGGTCCATATGTCTAAGAGCCATTCTTTTTACACATACCAATATATTAATACTAGTCTGTTAGTTCAGGAAGTAAACTTAACCTAAAGAAGGTGATACTATCAGATTCACAAGCTGTTGTTCTTTTAGGGGTGGTGGGGTTCATGGAATCCAGGGTCTAGTAGACTATTGGCACGATCCTGCATGTACTCCTTCCTCCTGCATACTGTAGATGCCACACGACTGAAGGATCTGGGCACCAGCAAAAGTTTTTTACTGGTTTAAACACAGAAATGAGAGAATCTCTGTGGTCAGTGCTGGTTTATTGTTTGCACATTTAAACAAATGTTTTCTGTCTGTTCTATTTTTTTTTTCCTATTTTCTTTCATGGCTCTCTGACCATATTCTTTCTTAAATTGAATAATTGCACATTGACTCTTAGAACTTGGACAAAAGAAACTTCTTCAGAAAAAAAGTTTATATTGTAGAATAACATTTACTTGTAATTGTTTCCAAACTATTTCATTAAATGAGATTAAGCTATAATGTCATTAACTTAAATTTGATACTATGTTAATGTAATTTATTTGCAGATGTACAGGTAACTTCATTAGATAACCACATAAGGAGAAAAATTACTCAAATTGAAACCTGTGTTCAAAATTGATCTTTCAACACAAAGTTTACATTATTATTAGAATATGAAAATAAAATGTTGCTATTGATTGACTTAGGGTGGTAATACTGGAATGTATTCTCTGTATTGTATGCTTGGCTTATTTCATTATTCATGTGTACATGAAGATGTTGTGTGTTCTAGGTGTTGAGTGTAGTGTTCCATGATTATCAACAGTGTGCTGATTTTCTATTTAGTTGCTGAGAGGAGTTAAAATCTCCAGCTATTACTTTGAGTTTTTCAGTTTCTTCCTTCAGTTCTGTCAATTTTTGCATCGGCTATTTTAAACCTCTTTTGTTCAGTGTATATATGTTGATGATTATGTTTCTTAATGAATTGGCCTCATAAATTGAAAATTATGAGATTTCCTTTAAAATTGGAGCATATTAATGATACATATTTTGTGAAAATTTATAGTCATATTTTGTTTATTTTCATCCCTGTTACCTTCCTTTTTTCTCCCTACCCTTTTCTCTATCTCTAAAAGTCAATTTCCAGTCATCTCTCTTTTATTTACTTGTTTATTTTTAGATTGTTCATGTAAGAGAAAATGTGATCTTTCACTTTCTGAACACTGGATTACTTCACTTAACAAGATTCCTTAGTGTATCCATTTTCCTGCAAATGTCATGATTTCATTTTTATGGTCAAATAATATTCTATTATGTGTATGATCACATTTGCTTTGTACATCATCTGTTGACAGGTATTTTGGCTGTTTCCAAGCTCACCTTTGTGAATTTCTCCCACATGGGTATTTATGTATCACTGTAGTAGTAAGCTGTCTTTAATTCCTTCAGGAATATACCAAGCAGTGGTCTATCTGGACGTGTTTTTAGGTTTTTGATGAATCTCCACATGGATTCCCATAGTAGTTGTACTAGTTTTCATTTCCATCAACTCTGTAAGTCCCCACATTCTCACCAGCATTCATTGTTTCCTGGTTTTTTGTTTTGTTTTGTTTTGTTTTGTTTGTTTCTGATGCTAATGGGAATTGAATTAAGGGCCTTCCCACTGAGCTACATCCCCAGCCCATTTTTATTTTTAAATTTGAGACAGGGTCTCAATAAGTTCCCCAGGCTGGGCTCAAACTTGTGTCATCCTACATCTACTTCCCACAGTGTTGTCATTACAGATATGTGCCACCATGCGTGCCAATTTTTGTATTCTTGATGGTAGCTGTTCTAGGGTGAATGCTTTGCATTTCCCTAATGACTAAAGATGTTGAAGATTTTTTCATATACAGTACTTACTGGCCATTTCTACTTCTTTTGAGAATTATTTGTTGAATTCATTTTGCCTATGTATCGGTTAGATTATTTGTGCTTTTTTTGGTGTTATTAGAGTTCTTTATATATTCTAGATATTAACCTTTTATCATAAGAGTGCTTATCAAACATTTTCAAACTTATTCTCTAGGTTGACTCTTCACTCTGTTGCTATGCAAAAGCTTTTTAGTTTGATATAGTATTTTTTTGTTGATTCTTGATTTCATTGTTATTGTTGTGGTCCTATTCAGGTACTCTTTTTCCTGTGCTTATGGCTTTAAGTGTTTCCCATATGTTCCAGCATTTTCAAAGTTTCTGGTCTTATAATTAGGTCTCTGATTCATTTTGATTGATTTTAGTACACACTGAGAGATACTAGTTTCAGTCTTTTTTTTTTTTTTTTTTTTTTTTTTTTTTTTTTTTTTTTTC